AATTTAAAATTTTTTGTTTTTTATTATTCAAAACCTCAAATAAAAAAAAATATTTAACAAGATGTTTCATGTTTATTTAAAGTTATTATGTACATATATATTGACCTATATAGTTTTTTAATTAAAAATTTACAGTAGTATTTAAATAATAGATTTTTTTATGAAATTATTTTAGTGAACAAGTATAAATTTTTTTTTTTTTTTTTCTACTTAATCATTGACTAATAAAAACTTATTAAACGTATCTCCCTTTATTTATTTATTTTTATTTTTAAACTATAACCAGATAGCAATAATCATTTACAAATGTAAAAAAAAAAAAATTTTAAATGAAATGTTTTCAATCGAAGTAAAGGAAAATTGATAAAATTTAATTTTCATTTTTTGGATAATTCTACGTACGTTGAAAAACATATACATTTATTTTTCTCTTGTGTTTATTTTATTAAATAAAAAAAAAATTCTTATAGTAATTTATAATTAATAAAAAAAATTATTAAGACGATAATAACTCGGATTAAATTTTTTTTTTGGGCAAAAAAAAAAATAAGTAGAAATCACAAATATACGTTTTTTTTTTTTTTTTTTATTTTAACAAAGTTTTGTCGCTCGAAATCATTTTAAAATATATACATTTTTTTTTTGAATTAATAGTAGTAGTAATAAGTAATTTGAGTAATACTAATAGTAAAGGTTAATTTTAAAGTAATTTTTTCATGTCATAACCAAACAACAAATTAAATAGATATTTAAAATTTAAATTTTGACGTAAAATTAATTTTTTGTGTAAAAAGTAAAAATTACCTTAATAGCTACTTCGAGATCTTCTTCCTTCATGTCGTTAAAAAGTCAATAATTATTTGTAATGCCCACATATTGTTTTATTATAATTTTTATTTAGGTATCAACCCTGGATTAGTGTACCTGGAAAGACGATTCAAATGAAAATTTTATACAACGAAATAATAGTAATTATAAAAATTATGTTTTACGTTGAAATTTTCGTTGGGAAGTGAATTAATCTTTTTAAATTTTTACTCTATTTAACGAAACAATGAATTTTTTCTAAAACTTTTTAAAATCAAAATGTAATATATAAAATTTTTTTAAAAAAATCATTTGATTGATTTATATATAAACAAGGTAATTTTTTTTTTTTTTTTTGCTTTAAATAATTTTAAAAAATTTTACATATTTATATACAATATCATGAGAATTTAAATATTTTTTAACACATATATTTTATTTAAAAAATCATTGTAATTTTTTTCAATGCACAATAATTGATTAGCCCCTAAAGTTTAAGATCCCACTCTAAATTTTACGTAATAAATAAATAAAGTTTTTTTTTTAAATATACAGATAATAGAACAAATCTTTTAATTTAATTAATAATTATTTATGTAGTTTATTAAATGTTGGGTATAAACTGAGCATTTATAAAAAAATTCATAATCATAATTAAATTCGACTGATTTTTTCTTCCATTTTTATTACCTCCCATAATTCTTAAGTATGCAAATTATTTAGGCGTAGAATGTAGAATGTGATGACAAAATGTCATGTATTTTTTCATATTTTAATTTTAATAACTTATATTTGATTTAAAAATAATTAAAATAAAATAAAAATAAATAAATAATCATAATTTTTAAAACGGTATGAAAAATTTTTCATGGTTAATAAGAGGATGAAAAAAAAAATTTGTTACGGTCACTCCTTTGACCGGAATTTCATAAATATTCATTCCATTTACGTATTTCATATTTATATTATAAGAAATAAGTTAATTTTCAGTATTTTTATTTATATTCATTGAAAATTTTAACAAAAAAAAGTTAAATTATTATTTTAACATTCAAAACTAAAACTATTTTTTGATATCTAATAAATTTAATGAATGATTATAGCATTACCTGGATTTTTTTTTTTGGTTGGTTTTTTAATAACTATTTTATTCAATAAATTTTTTTTTTAAAAATGACTAATTAAAACATTATATCTCAAACACATTTTAAATTAGGTAAGAATATTTATAATTAATATATTACTTTACAATCGGAAAAAGAAGAAAAAAAAACTTATTAAGGCATTCATAATCCACCATTGAAATTTACACAAAAAAAAAACCGACGCCGCCAAACCTAAACCTAAATGAGTCCGGACAACACTAAAGTCAAACTGTACGTACCCCTACTCGAATACTTTCCGCGTTTCAAAAATGAATGTCAGGTTGGAGAGACTGTAAATTGATATAAATGCCTTTATTTATTTACCCATGTCAAAATTTAAATATTATTTTGTGTAATTTTTTTTTCTTTACATTGAGTTTTTATGGTTCATAAAGAAAAAAAAAAATTACTTAAGATTAATGAGTTTATTTTAGAATTTTTAAGCTTAAATATACATGATTTTAACGTTTTTTTTTTATTATAAAGGAAATTAATGAAGGAATAATATAAATAATAATAAAAAAATTGTTTAAAAAAACTAGAAAAAATTCAAGTGATATTTTTTTTAATTATTTTTATTAATAATAAAAAAAAATCTAGAATCGGCGATTAATTTCATTAAATTTCTTATTTAAAAAAAAAAATCCTATCTAAAATTATTAAAATTAAAAATAAAAATTTTTTTTCAAGGAAATTTTTTATGACAATGTTGGATGCACTGCTTATACTTTAACAATATGGCGCTTAAGTCTGGTTTGAGTGGCGGTAAAGATTTATTACTCGGGATTTGCCTTCCTTCTTTAAAACACAATGCTTCTAGAATTAACGTTACTAAATTGGAATTAGATGAAAAGTTGTTAATGGTAATTTATTTACGATTTTTCTTTGTTTTTCTTAAATGTATATATTAGGTCGATCAAAGTGTTTTTAATGTGATTATTTAATCCTCGTTCTTTCTTTTTTAGTTTTTTAAAAAAAATTTTGTAATTTATGCTTCCGATCCCAAGAAAATTTGTAAAACGGGTGATGTCGTGTTAGTTAAAGAATTAACAAAAAAGTTATCAAATTTAATGACTCATGAAGTTATAAAAGTTATTTATCCACTTGGTGATGTAGTTGATCCAGTTACTGGCAAAAGAGTTGTGGGGTATCACTACAGGTATTTCTATATTTATTTTTTTTCTAAATACGAAAGTCAGATAATATAAAATTTTTTTAAATTTGTAAATATTTATTTACATAAATGATGTGTGTAATTATTAAAAATGACAAAATTTTAGAGATGAAAATGAAAAATATAATGCAGTTTTTGGAAAAGCTCCAAATGCTTTTGATTACAATAAAGCAAAGAAAAGAGGTTGGCAAGAAGGTAAAAAAGACTTCAGTCATAGGCAAGTCTACTTAAAATATAACGAATTCGAAAAGGGAGATGAAAATGAGGAACAACCTTTTTCGATTGATCATTAGTGTATATATACATATATTTTATCTAATTATAATAAATAATATTAAAATATAATTAATTACAAAAATAATAATTATTTATTAAATATACATTTTTCAAATTATACACTGAAATTTAAATTTTTCAATTTTATTTAAAAAAAAAAAAATATATATATATCGGTACTGAATAAAAACATTTATTGAATTGAAACACAACTGTCTGCTTGTCTGTTTAAAAAGTTTTATTAATTAAATTAATAATTAAATGAAAAGTTTCTTAAAGTATTTATTTATGATCAAGTTTTGACAAATTTTAATAATTCATCAATACTTTTCAATAGTAGTGACAATTCTTCCAAAGGTAGTTGTTTTAATGTATAAACAATTTTTTTTGTATAATTTAAAAATTTTTAATTAAAAATTATACTATAACTACTATTTATAATTACTATTTTGTTTTACAAATTATAAAAATTTTAAAATTTTTCAGTAAAAATAAAAATCCCAAAATTAAGTATTACATATGGGCCAATTCTGTTTTTATAAATGTTGAACAGTAAGATTTTAGTATTTTTTTAAAGTTATCTGATTTGTATTTCATATCTCTATTCTTATTTCTACATAAGATAAAAGCAGTTGAAAAAAAAAAAAAATATAAACAAGGGTTTTAACTTGTGAATTTTTAAGTATAAAATAAGAAACTTACATTAAAAAGAACTGTTTAAAAAAAATGTTTTTTTGTTATGTCTTTTGGATACAACAAATACAGATAAATTGTTTTTTGTTCTTATGCTAGTTAGTTCACATTTTTACATAAATAAAAAATGCACATATTAAATAGCCAAATATAGATAGTTTGTTTTAATTTTAATAATTTTATCTGTTAAAAAAAATTTTTTTTCTAACACTTTTTTTTACATTAAAAAAGATAAAATTATTAATTACAAGATCAATAAATAGACCATTATAGCCATCAATAAAATTTTTTCACAAAAGAAAAAATTATTTATTTTTCTCAAATATTTATATGTCAATATTAGACTGACAAAAGTAATATTTGACTTATTGCACTCTTAATGTGTCTAATATACATTTTCAAAGCATTTCTAACAACTATCTTTATTTGTTTATTAGATTGATTATAAAGATCAAAGAAAAAAATGAAATGAAGATTTGTCAGATTTTATATTTTAATTTCCAGATAAAAACTCTCTTTCGAGTGCAGCACCCATCATATTCCATTCTCTGTCATCCATGCCTTCGTCACTTCCTCCTGTATCCTGACTATCATCTCCTAAATCTAAATCACTAGGTAATGGCTCTCCTCGCCTAAATTTAACACTTGGGTATTCTTCGTCATATTCAGTTTCTGTACAAGTAGTTGTTTCTACTTTTCGCTTGCGACATTTCTTTTCGCTCCAACCTTTAGGGTGTGAAGTACCTAATAAATTTTTCTTTATTATCTAATTAATTTAAAACATTTGTTACACAAAGTTATAAATGAAAAAAAAAATACCTGATAAGGAGTCCTCCGAACTTGTTGTCGATGTTTCATCCTCGCATATTTTAGGTGGTTGATTTGTTTTTATAATTTTTTTGTCCAACTCGCTTTCACTCTCATCATCATCAACGTTGTCATCGTCGTCTTCGTCGTCGTCATCATCGTCTTCATCATCTTCTTTACACAGGTCTCTACTTCTGGTCATTATTTTCATATCTCGAGAAAAGTAGTATGGATAATAGTGTCAATAAATCTCCACTCGGAGTCGATTTCTTGCTGCTGAAGTAATTTTCTGATTGTATCACTTTATGGTCTGGGCTTCCGCAGTGAGCCGGAGGAATTCTATTTGCTATCCCTCCTCTTCCTGTAAACAAATTACACGTCTTTTGAAAACTGTAAATCAACATTATTATTGCTGTAAGAAATTTTACAATAACATTTAACACGTTGATAAAAGTGTTCACGATGAAGTATACAATCACAGGTTATAATTTCCAAATTTTTAAAATAAAGTCTAATAATTAACATAATAACAAATCTAAATATTTTTTTCAATGATTTAATATTTAAGTTCTGAGTATTCGATTCGGTGCACTTAACGATATCTTTGGGATATCAATTTTTTTCAAAGTAAACAATATGGATATAGTAATTTAAAGTTTCATAAGGTAAAAAAAAAAAAAAAATGGCGTTGGCATTTTACTATTGAAAATTCAATGTAAAGTTTAAAATTATTTGTCATTGCTTACCGTTTGTGAATTCTAGAGTTCAAGTTCTATAACGTAAAGATTTGTCAATTTGATTTTATACTTATTATTATATTTACCTAAAGGATATAATTTTTCGTCAACTTTTTCCCAACGCTCCGCACAATGCCATAACCAAAGAGGCGTCACAATAAATATTCCTTTATGACGCCGGGAAGAATTAACTTTGGCTGTGCCCGGCCTGGCAGCAACCAAATGAGTGCAATTTGAAGAAATATCAGCTGATACAATGGCTCCTAATGAAATCGCAACCAAATATGCTCTACTTTCTTGTAAAGGTATGTGAGATGGAACCAACCCACTAAAAACTAAATGACAACCTTTTAACGTATTTTTTTTAAAGTTGGGTATAACGGTTTTCAGATCGGGAATAACGCAATTGCTGTTTATTTTTTTTTGGAAATCATATTCTTCATAATAGGCTTTATGAATGTTTTTTAAAATTTCTTCTAAATACATTAAATAATCATCTAAATCTTCAACTTCTATCAATTCAACTTGATTTTCGGATCCTTCTTTGCTCTTATTTTTGTCCTCATCTCCTTGAATATCAGAATTAAAGTTTGAAATTTCTACTTCTACTTTTGTATCTTTTTCACTATCCTCTTTATTGGATTTCTTTAAAGTTAGACATGAAGTTTCCTCCGAATCCACATTCACATTGTTAAATTCATTTTTATCATTTTTGTTATCCATAATTTTTTTTGCCTTCTCATTAGGATCTGTGCCATCATCTTCTGATAAAAGTAAATCTTCTGTAACTTTTTGAATATCTTCTTCTGCTTTAGTATCACTTAATATTTTTGGAGCCGAAGTTTTTTCATTTTCATCTTCTGTATCTTTATCCGTAGTTGACTCTCCAATCATATCAACTTTGGATTTCAATGTCAGAAATCCTGCTGGTTTTTTACAACTGTTGCTTTCCACTTGTTCTTCTTTACCGGGTTCATTATCTAAAATTTAAATCAATTCATGATTATTTCTGGAGGGAAAAAAAAAATTTATTTATTTCTTTAGAGTTTTAATCGTAAAAGAGTTGATTGTATAAAAATTACCAATATATTTTTTTCATTTTTGTAAACATATAAAATTTTAGAGTGTAATAAATATTTTTTATTTAAAAAAAAAAAAAAAGAAAAAGGCTATTTATTTTTAAACAAACTTAACAAATGTAGGCTTTCAAGAAATAGAACTTTCACATAATTTAATATTTCTGAAATAAATTATTTTGTCCAATTAAGCCATTTTTTATTTCGAATAAAAAAAAAATAATAATAATAATAATTAGAGTGAATAATTATGATTACTGTAAAAAATAAAAAATTACCTAAATTGGTGAAATCAAAACCATCTACTTCATCATTTTCATTTTTTGTCAATCCTGGAGGTGCATTAATGTCACCTGTATGTTTAAAAAAATGATAAGGTTTAACATGAATTAAGTTGGCAGCAAAATTCCAAACATCTTCTCTGTCATCTATTATGCAAACCATGTTATCACCACACGGGAATAAAGCTTTTAAGTTTGCTGTTTTCGAATTGGCATTAAAACATTCATCCCTTGACAGTATTCTATGTGAAAAATACTTCCCATCAGGATCTAAAAACATGGCTATCATGTGTGCATAATTTCTTGCACCAAATGTACATATGTGAAGTTCATAGTATTTGGAAATTTCTTCTAAAAATTTGTGAGTTCTGGGTCTTATTCTTGTATGATACCAAGGAGACATCTGACCATAAAGTCTAAAGTGATAAACATCTTTTAAATTGGGTGGTATATTATCATTTGTGGTGTGAATTAAGGTCTGATCTAAATCCACCAACAAAACCAATTTCCTATCATTTAATAATCTGTTTTCATCTGCTTTGCCAATTATCTGTGCTTGTTCTTCACTTACTTTTAATTCAGGTATGCTATGAACCATTGGAACAGAAGCATTAGTTGAAAATTGTTCATTTTTTCTTAAGTCGGCTCCACATTCTGCACACATATCTTTCATGACAGTCGGATGGTTACATTCCTCGAGTTCTAACAGAGCGCAACTGGAATGGAAAAATAGATTTAGTAATGTAGGTCTTTGGTATCATAGTAAAGTCCAATAGCATAGTAAAGTAAATTCAGCAATTATTTAATCAAGTAAAAAAATTAGGAGAATATGCAAGTAAGATTATACAGTGACAGCTTATTTCAATTTGAAATCGATATATTTTAACAAATAAATAAAAAAAAAAAAAAACGTATTTACTAACCCCGGTTGAACGATATCATTTTCGTTAACAAGTATTTTTCGTACAGTTCCAACCTGAGAACTTTTAAATTTAAGGTTTTCGGTTTCAGACGATACCAAATTATAAATAAATATGACTTGTCTGATTGAAACTAACATGCCTTCTTTGACTTTCCATTTTTTAATTATTACAGCTTTATTGGTGTTTAAATGCAGAAATGTTGTCTTATTTTCCATATTCTCTTAATCATATTATTACCAGAATAAATATTTAGCGTTTCGTTATTATTGTGTTTTTTTTTTTTTTTTTTTTTTTTTTTTTTTTAATTCTGCATTAATCGATTCAATAGGCTAATGACACGAAAATACCGCCAAAATATTGAATTGTATACACTGAAAAGTATTGGTGGCTACCAGTAAATTTTAATGATATTTTATTACAATTTCATCTGTTATTTTTTTTTAAGCATCTGTTAAAATTTTTAGGAAATGAGTAATAAGAAAACAAAAAAACATGCACTTAAGAAGTCTTTTAGCAAAAAAAAATTTTCGGATAATAATGAAACTCGTGATACCGAATTGGAAAATTGCTCTAACCTTACAGGTATTTTTAGTTTACAATTCACTCGTTCTTTATTATTATATTTCTAGTTTAATAGATTTAAAATTTCAGTTCATATTGTTAGAAAAAAAAATTTTTTTGTATGTATTTTAAAAAAATTTTTACCAGTTGCACCAATTTATTTTTGTTCTTATTTATTATGTATGTTAGAAACATTACTCACTCTTTACTGTAATTATTAAATTTTAGAATTTTTAAATCAAAATTGGTTGATATTTACGGTGTCACAACTATTCAACTTTGATTCTGGGAGATTAAAGCAATTTGGAAGAAAAATAACTGAGGAAATTAATGCAAATTTCAAAAACGACACATATTCAGCCCATGAATGTATTTTTTCCAAATGTCCCGTTTTAAAATTAGATGAAAATTTTTATGATGTAGTTAAGGTATTTATATATTTGTTATATAAAAATGTTGAGTTACTTTTTTTTATAACTCAGAGATAACTTTTATTTATCTCATTACAGGTAGAGGTTAAATATGTTCAATCTAAACACATTTATTTAGCCTATTTTCTTTCAAAAAGAAAGGAAAGTGCAAAAAAAAATGAAATTGAAATAAAGGATGATTTTTTACCTATTTTATTAGTGAATTCAAAATTGAATCGTAAAATGCATGTAATCCATTACTTACTTTGTAAGTATTTTCTTATTATAATTTGTCTTTTCTATTTATTATTTGTTTACTTGTTTTTTTTTATACAATTCTGTTAGCAGTTTTTTTAAGAAAAAGGAAAAAAATTTACTGCTATCTAATTGTATTATTTAATTTTCAAATAAAATTAATAATTACTTTACATTTATAATTTATTATTATTTTATTTATTTACAGGTAAAATGTTTGATTGTGAGATTATTCCTGTGAAATTTTCATTTTGGGCATTGCTTACTATTCTAGTAAAGCTATTAGAAAATCCTAGATGCACATCTAATTTATCAGAAGAATTATTAATGTTAGAATATAGAATTCCTAATTGTAAGCCTAATGACAAGATTCAAATTGTTTTATTTTTGGAAGAAACTACAATTGTATTAGCTGTGTAAGTTTACCTATTTTAAAAATAATTGCAATATTTACTGTTATTTATTTTGTACAAATGAATTCTACGATTAATGAGAGAAAATATTAAATAATTTATTATTGTTTATTTTCACTTTTTTTCACAATAATCTGGATTGATGTAGAAAAAAGAGGAAATCTACATTGAAGCTAGTTTTTTTTTTCTCTTTCTCTCTCTTTCTCTCTCTCCCCTAAAAAGCATGAGTGAACACTTATGGATTTTTTAAATTTTTTATTAAACAAAATAATTTTAAATAATTATTTTTTAAATTTCAGTTTGATTGATCATCTCAGAGAAAATAATAAAGAAATAAAGAAAAAAGAAATTATGTTTGAATTTTATAAAAGAGTAATTAATCATATTTTTATAATATATGAACTTAATTTGATGCGAGCTGATCTACAAAAAATAATGTTTTCCGACGCGTTTATCACTGCCAACGGACAGGTAGGAATATAAAATAATTTTAAATTTATCATTAATAGATTAAGGATTAATTCATAAATTGTTTAAATACTTTCACACTTCTAAATGTTTGTTTGTCTTGTATTACTTAAAAATTATGAATTCAGTTTTAATTAAACGATTTCAATAACATCAACAATATTTAGCTCAAGCATGAAAGTATAAAAAAAAAAAAACATCTTTTAAAATGATTTTTTTTTTTTTTATCTATCAAGCTTTCCTGAAATTCTGCAAGTCTAAAACAGTTTTTTTTTTTTTTTTAAATTAAATTTCTTTATTTAAGTCTATTTGAACTTGAATTGTTAAAAAGAACAATACTTAAAATTACTTATATTTATTCTTTAAATAGTGATTCTATAAATAATAGGTTATCGATTTTTTTTTTTTTTGTCAGAGTTTTACTTTAGCTTAATCTGAAATAAAGTAAATAGTAATTTTCTATTTTAATATTTTTATTCAGGTGAAATTATCTACAGATGAAGTTGCTTCAATCATTTTGAATTCTTTACATGCACTTGTTTCTCTAAGTTGAAAACTGATTGTGTCATTATTTAAGACTGAAATAAATATTATAATTGATAACATATGAATTTAAAATAAAATTTTAATAAAAAAAAAAAAAAGTAGCTGGTAATTATTTGGATGATGTTATAATAATTTTACACATATACATATATATAAATTTACACATTTACATATTTCTTATTATTATAATTTATTCTTTATTTTAATTATAATTAAAAATGATAACAAAAGTCATTAATTTCATTTTTTTAAATAATAAATTTTGTTTCAGTAAATTTATATTTACAAGTACTTATCATTTTTCAGTTTTAGACCATCTTGAGAAATTAAAACAATTCATACCCAATATCTTGGGTTAATATTTTAATTTAACATTTGCATTTGAATTTCTAATAAAAAATATTGTAAAATATATTGAATGAGGCTGTGATATCTTTTTTTAAATTATATGTAACTTCATTGAATTTCACTACAATTTTATCATATGACTATATTATTATGCTATCATTAATCTAATTATTTTTAATAAAAAAAACCATCCAAAGGTGGATTTTCTTCAAATGGTTTATCAATTTTTCCTTCCCTGTATTGTTTCATACGTTCTTTGTAAATGGCGTCTCTTCTTTTTAACTAAATAAAGATTTAAAATTTGAAGTATTTTGTTTGGAAACGAAAAAATATTTTTTTGGTATATATAATATAATTACCTGAAATGTATGATGAGTGCATTCCATACTGTCAAATAGTATAGCTGCACATTCACGAGACCCTTTGGTTGCTCCGTAAGCTTCTATGCAGTCAATGTATTTTAAAAATAACTCGGCACATAAATTTTTTTTACTTGTTAAAAAAAGCTTTGGTGTTAAAATATTACTCAAATCAGTTAAAGGATTGATCCACAATGGTATAAAAGACATATTTACTAGAAGAAAATTTACATGAAAATAATTAATTGTGTTAAATAATTGTGTATATTAAAATTATTTCAAAACTATAAAAACTCATAAAAAAAAAATAATGTTTTAAAAATTAAATTAAAATAATGCAGTTTTACTTTTTTTTTCTCTCTCTCTCTATATATTAGTGCTATTGAATATTATTTGTGAAAAAAATGTTCGACATTTTTAAAAATAGTCAGAGAAATTTGTCGAAAATTTTAGTTAGGTTTCTACCGTTCAAAAATGGCTAAATAAGAAAACAAATTCTGACAGCCACTTTTTAAGTTTCTATTGTTTTGTTGCATAAATGTTATTTTATTATACAAAAGTAAATTTACTCTTATATTTACAGCAGTTTTTTTTTGCATAGTTATGAATTTTAATTTTACTGGAATAAGTAAATTGGTAAGTACAAAATGATTTTAAATATGTAATTGAATACTATTTCGCATTACATGTTTAATGTTTCAGTTTTACATCAAATACCAAATATGATACCTCTATTAGAAAATGAAGACTTGGCTTGTTTTTACGTAACCAAGCATTCACCTTGGAAAGGAAAGTACAAACGAGTGTTTTCTGTTGGGTCGTTTGGAGTCACAACTTATAATCCATCATCTTTAGAAGTTACTAACAAATGGTTATATTCTGAATTAGTAGATATTCAACCAGCCTCTAGCGCGAACCGTACGGAATTTATTTTAACTTTTAAAAAAGACAAAAAAATTGATTCTATGAGATTTTCCACAGAATGCAGGTCTTCACTTCTAACAAGTGTCTTAGCCTGTAAATACATGTTTTCTGATAAGCCTAAAGATATTTTGGTGAGAAAAATGTTTTTTTTTTTTTTTAAATTATTTTACAATAGAATATTTTTCTTTTTCTTTTCCGTTTAATGTGGTTTCTTAAAATTTTTTTGTTAGGAGTTTCAAATAAAATACATTTTATTCCCCTTTCCCTTTTTTTTAATACTTGAAAAAAAGTACAAAATAATTATAATCAGTGAAAATATTAAGAAAAGGTAGTGTCATATCTTTTGCAGAATATTTTACATGTATTTCATTGAAAATTCAGTGTACACTGAAAAGTACTTGTTCATTAAATTTTTTTTTTAGTAAGTGAGGCATTGCTTTACAAAATAAAATATTCTTTTCTTATGTCATATAATAAAATTATTTGACATATGTTAGTATTATATATTTGTTCATTTATATTAATAAATTGTTATTATAATATAAAAATTTTTAGTTTAACGAAAATTATTAAATGAGATTAGATATAAATTTTTGTGACGTTAGTTTTTTTTAAAGAATATAATTGTATTTGTATTAATTAAACCAATTATTCATATGTACTGATTCAAGATAGAAATCAGGTTTTTACACATTAAGAATGCAAGCTTATAGTTAAATTAATTAGTTTAATTTAAAATTTATTTGTTTATTTATTCAAATAACACAAAACTAATTATTTAAAAATAATAATTATAATTAATTGTATTTAATTCAGAAATGTCAATCTTACAAGCATCATTGGTCTGATACAAAGTTGCCTGTAGTGTTAGAAGTAACAGCTTCTTCATTGAATCAACTGGATCCAGCTACTAATGTGGTTCTTGCTTCTTATTCATATATTGATATAAAGGGATTTTCTGAAGTAAAAGATTATCCTGGAGGTTTTGTAATAATCTGTGAAGAGTTTAGTAGAATGGTATGTAGACTTTCACTTAAGATTTTAATTATTTTAATAAATTAAAAAAATAATTTTATTTTTTAGCATCTTTTTTCCTGTGATAATTTAATAGAACTCAAATCCAAAATTCTAGAATCTGCCAGTAATATTGGAGTTACAATCAGGGTCATAAAAGAACCTGTTACAATTCAAGAATTTAATAATCAAAGACTTGGAAATTACAGGTAATTAATTAATTTCACATAAATTTTTTTTTTTGATTATTTGAATAATTTTAAATTTAAATTGTATTTATTATTAATACTTACTTGCTTGATACAACTTGTATCAACTTTTGTATTTTTGTATGATAATTTTTAAAATGAATTATTGTCATATCATCATCATTATCACCACATCATCATCATCATCATCATCATCACCATTATAATTATCATTATCATCATTATTAAATGATAAAAATTTTAATTTTGGATAATAGTGGAGATGAACATATTACTTCTATTAGTGAGTTTTCTGTCCATAAAATTAGTCACAGGCATCAAGATGCTCAAAGAAGAATTTTGTGCCTTACGGAATCATGCATTTTGGAAAGAGATCCTCAGACTTACAGTGTTTGCACTCTTAGACCATTAAGTGATGTATTTGCTTTAATTCGTAACAAAGATAATCCACAGCTTTTTTCAATTGAATATGTAAATGGTGATTCCAGAAATTATACTACTTCTGATAGGTAAATATATAACAATTTTATGTAATCTTATAATTATTTTTATTTATATTATGTATTCACTATTATTATTAATATTTATTGATTTATTGAAAGAAAAACAAAAAAATTTAATATACTTTTTTAAATTTTAGAGATTCCTTATTAGCGACCTTACTTGATGCTGTGAGGGGGTCAGGAAACCACGATGTACACGTGAAAATGCAAAGTACCAGTCGAGGAAAACGATGGGGTCCCTTAATACAACCCTTGGAACAGGAAGTAGAATCATTGCATTTAAAATTTTTTCAGCAACGACCCGGAAACAGAAGTCTTAATGAAATAATAGACCGTTTTAATGCAAATGTACCGTATAGTGGTTTAATTCATTCTGTTACTCAAGAAGTGAGTTAACCGTATTATACACAATTTAAATTTAAACCGAATGAATTGGACTTTTTAATCATATGTTAATTATTTAATTTTCATTTATTTAGAAAATATGGAAATATATAAATTTTTTTTGTAGGGAATTTTTGCTGAAAATAAAGAAAAATTAATTAACAACGCAATTCAAGCCTTGTCAAATGAAGATTCTGAAGCTACGAATTGTTCTAATAAAGAATTAGAGGCTCAGTTTCATGCCTTACGTCGATTATTCGCATCTAAAATTGGATTTACTGCATTTACTGTTATGCAGGGGTAATTAAATTATTCAAATTAGTCTTGTATTAAACTTAAAAATTGTTAATAATTGAGCTATGCTTAAAATTTTAATACTTTGTTATGTTAAAGGCTAAAAGAAAATATTGGAAAGAAGGTTATTAGTGCATTAAGGAGAAATGATGATAATGTCACGCATGCTGCCATTGACATGATATGTTGTTTAATGCATCCAATGCATTACGATTATGAAATCAGGCAAGAACAAATTAATAAAGCTTCAATATTGTCTAATAAAGTATTTCTTAGCAAACTTTTAGACATGTGGATTACGCACATTGTGAGTAGTATTGAGTAGTATTTAAAATTAACATTGTGATAATACAAGTTTTTACATTCTGATTTTTTATTACGATCATTTTTTTTTTTTTTAAATTGAAATGTGAATCAGTAAAATTCGATGATATTACTTGAATTCTACTTTTTGGTCATACTAATTTGAAAAAAAAAAAAAAAATTGTTTCAGAATCGGGGAACTGCAGCGTTGGTAGTATCATCTTTATTAGATTTTTTAACTTTTGCGCTTTGCATTCCGTACAGCGAAACAACTGACGGTAAAGATTTTGATAATTTATTAAGAATGGTTGCTGAAAGAGGTCGTCCAATATTTAAATTGTTTCAGGTATTAATTTTTGTTACATTACTGTATTTCGAATATATCTGTTATTTAATTGATAATTTACAGAGAAATTTTGAAGAAAAAAAAAACTAATGTAAATTAAAATTTATTAATTTAGCACACGTCTTTAGCTGTGGTAAAAGGAGCAGGTTTGGTGATGAGGGCATTAATAGAAGAAGGGGAATCATCGATAGCTTTAAAAATGCAAAATCTTGCACTATCAGAAGGAGCTTTACCGAAACATTTATTAACTTCTTTATTTACTCAAGGTTCCGATAGTAGACTGTTAGCTCATCGAAAATTATCTAGGCATTTAGTAGGATTATGGGTTAATGATCATTCCATATCAATGGCCTTGCTCAAACGTATAATGGTATTGCTTTACAGGAAATAAAAACATAGTTTGATTTTTAAAAAAAATACTTTTTTTTAAAATTTCATTTAAAAAATTCTAGCCTCCAGGCCTATTATACTATTTAAACTCAACAGAAAAAGTACCAGAATCTGTTCTTAAAGAAGAAGCCCTATTAACTAGAGATAATTTAAAATGGCACAAGAGCATTTTGATAAAAATAGAAAAGGGCCTCAAAGAGTGGCTTTAGAAAAACAATTGAAAGTTATTGAAAAGCATTTGGACAATATGCTTCAACACTGGGGAGCTACTCTGGGGCTCGAAAAGAAATCAAAAGATAAGGAAAAAAAAGAAAAACCTGTTGTTCTTCGCAGAAGAAGAGAGAGAGTTAAAAGTGTCGCGAATTGGCCTTTATTTTATTATAAATTTGGACAAGATCATGCGTTACCGTCCCTTATATGGAATCATAAGGTATGTTGAAATATTTAAATCTAAATACAAAAACTCTTTTAGCTAATTTATTTAGTAATTCATGTAGTAATTCGTTTAGACTAGAGACGAACTGAAAGATGCTTTAGAAACAGAAATACGAAATTTCAATGCTGACCGGGAATTAAGTGGAAATGCGATGGTATCGTGGAATCATCACGAATTTGAAGTAAATTATCCTTGCTTGGCAAACGAAGTAAAAGTTGGAGAATATTACCTGAGGATATTATTGGAATCCGACGAAAAAAATCAAAATCAAATTTCTCATTCGTAAGAATATTCTTGTTAGAATTAATTTTTTTATTTTAACTCAAATAAATCTATTTTCTTTTCTTTTTTTTTTTTTTTTTTTAAACAATGACAGATACGAATTCTTTAATATTCTTTATCATCGATTTTTACTAACTTCAAAACCAGAAATGAAATCAATGTGCCTACAAGCTATGGCAATCGTTTACAGTCGTCATTTTAAAGATATTGGTTTATTTAGCGATACAAAATATATTATAGGAATGTTGGATAAGGTCAGTAACATTTTTCGGTACTATATCTTCAATGTTCTTTAAAAAAAAAATAAAATAAAATAATTTTTTTTAATTTTAGTGCACCGATAAAATGGAAAGGGATAGATTAATTATATTTATAGAAAAACTATTGCTCGACAAGAGAAACATAAAAGATATAATGGATGCCAATGGTGTTAGAATTTTAGTTGATTTGTTAACTCTTGCTCATTTACATACTTCGCGGTAGGTCAATTATTTATTTTTATTTTTTTTAGTTAAATTAATCTATTTTATTTTCTTTGTTAAACAATGACAGATACGAATTCTTTAATATTCTTCATCATCAATTATATATATATATATATATATATATATATATATATATATATATATATATATATATATA